GGGGGGGGGGGGGGGGGGGGGCGGGCGGAAATCCTGGCAAGCAGAAGGCATGCTCTTGCAACACAAAACTCAGTGGAAAAACAGCTGATGAGTAGTACAGAAACAATGCCTCGCTGACTGCTCATCACAGCTACTGCAGGGGTAAAAAAAACTTACCTTAAAAAAAGACACTGGTAATGCTTCAGAAAACATTCCTCAATCATTAAATCTGTTTTAAGGGGTCAGACACAGAAAAGTTGTAGTTTGGATCCTCAAGGCTGAAGAATAATGGGCTGAAGCTGGAACAGCCTTCCACTGGTTTCAGTATAGGATTAATCACATTGTCCAATTGAAGATAATTACACATCCCTACTAAAAAGGATGTCATTTTTGTAGTGATACTATCCATGAGTCTTATCAAGTGACCTACAGCATGTTACAAGCTAGAATTTTACAATGTTAAAAGAGTTATGATGGCGACATGGACACAGTAGGAACAGAGAAGATATATTAACTTTTCTTTTGCTCAGGTAGGTATCAAGGGAGGGCCAAAAAAGGATTATGAGGTAGTTATTATGCAGACAATTAAAATGCAAAATTAGTAGAGCTATGCATTTCATACTAAGCAAAAAAAAAAAAACAAAACCTGAGACAAGCTCATCTCTTGCACAAAAAGACTTCAAAAGACTTGAAAACAAACGACTTCCAATATATGGTGCATTAAATAGTTCTGTGTGATAGCATTCACCTTGTACTTACCAATGCCATCAGGTAAGACCTGAAGTACATTCTGAGAAACAAGCAAGTCTGTTAAAGAAGTCAGACCACTAATTTCTTCAGGAAGGCATTCCAATTTATTTTCAGAAACATCCAGACAAAGCAGGTTTTTCAGGTTTCCTACTTCCTGCAATACAAGAAAAAAAAATTTAAGTCATGCCCAAACACGTAACAAAGCAATTTGAAAAATGTACCATCACAATGAAAATTCCAGAAAGAAGAACAATTCTCTGTACAACCTCTAAATTGGCTATTCTTTGTATGACCTCTAAATGCAGAAAAAAGTAAATAATTACATTTTATATATGATAAACCAACCAAGTAATTCAGTCACAGTTTCTTATTCTAACTATTAAGACTGGCTTCAGTAGTCAGACAAGGTATGCTGAGCACACCCAGGCAAGCACCAGCCAAAACTGGAGTTTTCCTAAAGACTGCAAAGTTGTTTTTTCAGAACTACAGATTATCAACCTCCATGTAATTAAAGTCTGCCACTCCCAATTAACCCTAGGCAAATTAGGATTAGTCCCTCCTGGCTGATACAGCAACATGCCATGACATCTAGGGATTTCATATCTTCGTATCTCCCACCTGCAACAAATGTAGAAATAGGAATTGGCAGTGTTGCTCTAGCTAGCATATTTGAACTGCCAAGTTATACTGCCATCATCTGCGATTATTAATGATTACTTAATTTTTTACAAAGGTAATCTGCCAATTAGCTTAAAAGTCTGACAGAGAAATACCTATTAGCCATCAGAACACCCTCCCATTCCCCATGTACACAGATACCCCTATACACACTCTAGAATAGTTCTCATTTTAGCCATCCAAATAATCTTTTGGAGAACAGAACGGCTGGGGCAAAAGTGTCCTCTACTTTTACATATATGAAATTTTCACACAGCAACAGCCTTGATCCAACTCACAAGGTCAGTCCTTTTATTTTGGAATTGTTTGCCTCTCAGAAGGATCTTTCATTAAACACACACACCCCTTTATCCTACAAGTTCATCTTTTGGACATTAGACAAAATACACAGTAATAGACAGCTTCAATAAAAACAGCTACTGAAGTCACACTTGACCTTTTATGAATGATTATCAGTGTTTAACTACATCTACTTAAAAAATTATTAGGCCAAGCCAACAACAACAAAGTCAACAAAACCCACTAAACTGTAACTGATTTCCAAGTTACACTGTTGACAATGAGATCAATACAGCAAATAATGGCAAACTGCATGAGGAACAGGAGAAAACAGGTTTTGACTTGGGTCTAAAGGAAAAAGAAGGAAAAGAAACCATCCCACATGTTATTGCAGTTCGTAAGAAAGGGAATTTAGAGCGCTGTAAGCTTTAAATGCTAAGGCCCCTCATCCCACGACCGATGTCAGATGGGGCATTTGCCTGCATAAATCAAAATTACTATTTATGGCAACAATTCTATTATTGTACTTCTCCCAAACACTGTATTTAAATGGAAGAAGATGACTGCAAAGAATCAGCAATTCATCCTCAGAACTGTCAAAACTGCAATTTAGATAGACACAAAAGGTGAGGGTTAGCTCAGCCAACTAGTGGCTCCCTGATCATTGAGCCAGGACTGTAAACAAGAGGATGTGTCATCCTAAATTGAACAATGTGCCTATTAGGAAACAATTCTTTCGTCAAAATGTTTAAAAGAAAATGTCTGACAACACAGGATATCATGTACAATCCCTTGCAGAGGAACTTATTAAGAGAAAGGCCTTACACATCCAAAACGAAACCCAGGCAAATTGAACTGAGAAAACTACTCAATTTTACATCACCTTCCTTTAGGTATGAACGGAAAGGTTATCTTTTAAAAGCATCTTCAAAACAGCATCAGTAGAGCTCATCTTTACCTGAGGTATTTCAGCTAATTGGTTTCCATCCAACCAGAGGTCTTTAAGATTGAAAAGTGCACCAATTGTTTCTGGCTATAACATAAAAAGTAATAACATTAAGTAGCATTGGAGCTTCAAGGAAAAACCAAACAGCCACCCCGTAATTACTGTCTGAGTGAAACAATCCTTACTCCAAGCACTGTTTAGAGGTACCACGGTTAAATGCAGCAACGGTGACTGTAAGCATTTGGGAACTCCATCATAAAAATTAGTTGTTACAGCTTAACAAGCTACCAAACTTTAGCTGACATGCACTAACAAATTGCATGCACACTCTCATCTACTGCAAATCCAGCATTTAATTGAGTCATCTGAAGGGAGGTAACATATCTTTTGGTCCATCCATCTGCCACAATGTCAGACACTATAGCCCTCAACAGTTTGCCTCAGCCCTTTCCCAAATATTCCTACCCCCACCCTGGAAAGAGTTGAGCATTCGTCTGTGCTCAGCCCGTCCAGCTCCCTACAGAAGCCCATGTGTTCATTTTAACTGCCAGTGCAGACAAGAGTTTGTGCCCTTCCACTCCTTTTTCTTTCTGTAGAAGTCTGTGCAGCGCTTTCATTTTTTAGAGATCAGCTGCAGTTTTTTGGGTAAAGTAATATTGTACTGAACAAGACTAAGCAGATATGGAAAGCACCAACTCACTGCCAAAATTCATCTGTACATATAAAAAGACTTTCCCTCCACACATTTTTCTTTCTTCAGTTTTGGACATCCTACAACCTATTTAATCTAAATGATGTGTAAAACAAGACCAACATGCACTTTCAGTAGCATGTTCTCTTACCAAGTGATAAAGTTCATTGTTTCCTAAATCAAGTTCTTCTAGTCGCTGCAGCTGGGCAAGTGATCTGTGAGACAAGATAAGTCAAAACAAAACCACATCAGACTAAACCAACAGAAACCCCATGTATTTGAATGAGCTCATTTTACTGAAACTCATATTTCAAATTACAACGTATTGTAGACAGACAGTTATTTTACTGGGCATAGACTATTTGCAGTAATATCTTACTGAAAAAAATAATTTGTTTTGTCAGTATAACTGTATGCCCTTGAAACTTACTTAAAACTTAGTATAGGCAATCAAATCGTTATTCTTTATTTTAACCATCAGCCCCTCAGGGTGGACAACGCCACACAGTTTAGTATAGTTGATTAGATTTATTTTTAGGGGGAATTTACAGTTATGCAACTGGATAAAAATTCCCCATAGTGATCACATGTACCAGTGTGACTCAATACTCAATAAATACATCATTTACCTTCTCAACATGGTCTATCCATTCCTGAAGTATTCCAGGTTGGATTTGAGGATGCAAACAGAGGGAAGCCCAAAAGGATGTAAAGGAAGTTCTCTGAACATGAACAGAGAGGGCCATCCTTCTATTTCAAAAGCAGTCTGTTGTAGAGCTCTTGCTTACCTCCCCCAAAACCACAGCAGCAAGAAAGCCAGCGAGACTCATCAGTTACGTTACTGACAGTCAGGATTTTCCAGGAGCAATAAAATTGTCAACATTTGTGATAACTTCATTCTGACACCACATGGCAAAACCGAGCTAGTAATTCATATCTTCTGACCACTGACATTTAAAGTGCCTTGTGGCTCACAGCTATAAACAACCACAACCAAGGTACTGGCTAGATTGACAGGAAGAAAGGACCCCAAAGGGACTGGGGAAGAGATTCTTATTAAAATAGGTTAAATCTATTACAGTATCTATTAGATTACCTAAACAAGCAGAATAGGAGTCACCAAAAACTTTGCAAGAAGCAGCCAGGTAGTGAAGGAAGGAAACTCCTTCACTAGGGAAAAACAAGGCTTCTTCCAGGCAGCCAAAAAGGATCCCCCAAATATAAGATACCCGATTAACCTTACAAAAGCCCACCAACTCCTCTGCCACAATAAAGCCAGCACAGACACATCTAGGTATCTTTTTTCCCCCAAAATCATGGCGGGTGGAGTCAGACTTCAGACATCAGTAGGCCTAGTTTGTCACCAAGCCTTTGATCTCCAGGTTTTGGAAGCTTTTGTTTACTTAGCTCTGAACACAAAGGCTTACTTAAATGCTATGAAGGCCAGAGTGGAAATCTCTCAGATCCTATTACCCTACTTTCACAGTTACGAAATTTCAGTATGAGAACAACCCAAACCACCACTCCCACTGCTGATCTGCTCGTTCAATGCGTGCAGGAAAAATTGTTTGGTGCTCCTGTGTTTTATACAGAATATTTTTATAGAGCAAAGCCAACTGACACAGACTGCGGGCTCCTGCTACTAACCAAGTACAACTAGAAGTAATGAGTGTAATTCGGTGTTGCTAAAACAATGCTTTATCTCATACATGTTGTCAATCGGCACTGATTATTTTTTCTATCTGTTACTCAATTTCATATGTTAGCAGATTTTAAGAATAAGAACATTTTATGTTAGTATAATGAAACAAATGAAATGTCACTTACTCAGGTAAATATGTCAGCAAATTTTCTCTAAGTTCCAGTGAAGCCAGGTTATAAAGACTAAAAAAAAACAAAACAAAACAAAACAAACCACCAAAACCACATTTTAATGCAATCTTACTTTCTTACTTTTTATATTCCACATTTTCAGAAGAAAAATGTGTGTTTACAGAGTTTAAAACAAAATTGCTGTGAACTGATTTGTTTGTTGTTTTAATTCAACTAGACCATCATGTGAAAGGCAGCATACAAAGACTGGAAGTTTTTGCTTGTTTCTCTGTGATACTTCAACATGTTAAAGCTAGAAGTAAACAGACAAAACACAAATTTCCATTTGTTAAAAGGTCAGTAGTTGCAAGTTACTGAATAGAGCATATTCAGAAGAATAGCATTTACTTACTCACTTTCAGAATCTGGCTTGGGCTACCAAAGTTACAGAGCATCAGGTAAACCCATCACTGTTCTAACAACGGTGTGCTCATTACTGTAAGTGACATTACGCTTCTAAGCGGCTCACTTACTCCATATCCCAGGCTTTTACTAACATCACCATAGCAACATTCAGATTTTTCAGGGGTTTATTTATGACTAAATGGAACACAAGGAGTCAGACATTATCCCAACACTATAATCTGCTCTAATCCTCCAGCGTCCCTGGGAAAAATAAAAATCAGATATGGTGACTGCAAATAAGTAGTCTCCTACAACAGAATACGTTCTGTCCTGGTGTGCAGGGAAGGGGGACAGTGTGCTAGGCCTTAAATAAAATCTAGATTAAAAAAGGAATTCCACTAAATTTGAAACACATGTTAAATCCAAACCCAAAATGTTTGTTTGTACACCTTAGGGGAAAAAAAAAAAAAACAACCCAAAAACAAAAACAAAAACCAAGCCCGTGTACTTGGACGACATAAAACTGGAATATATGTTTTCACTTCCAACAATACCAACATCGTGAATTACAGGATCAGTAGTTGGCCCCAGTAAAAAAAAGCAGCTGATAACCTCAATAAAACTAAAGAAAAACCTTCATATTGTGACTCCAATACAGCTATCTAAGCAGGGAAAGCAACATAACTGATATAATGAGTTATTAAAGAGGAAGATTTTTCATGGACTGACTTTGGATGGTGTCTGAAAAATACACCCTTATTTCAAGCACCTATTTCATACTGCATTCAGAAAACAGTGAACAAAATCTCACAGGAGCTCTGATTACAGTCTCAGAAGTCATCTCCAGCTTTTAAAACATGCACATTTTACCCAATGGTTTCTGCATTCCTCCAGAAGAAATACAGTTAAAACATACCATATAGGTGAAGATATTTTAGTAGAATCCTATTAAAAATTCAATTAAAAGATAAGTGAGAGTAACTCAGTTACTGCCACTCAAAATCATTTGACAGAAGCAAGGTAGTAAGGAAGCCATCATTCCAACAACACAAGAGAAAACTCTCACATAAAAATTTTAACACTATAAAACACAAGTCAAGATGGCACAAAGTACCCGACATCCTCACGGAAACCAAACCAGTGGAGGGGGAGAGGTGATGGAGAACCGTTTCTCTCCGAGAGGAACGTGGGTTTGCTCTTACTCACATTGCCACCCACAGACTGCCATTACATTTTTCTTTACAGGTCTTCTAGAAACCAATCTTCCTTTGAATGTCACACTTTCTCTTCAAGCTCGTATTAGGCGAGGCCCATGATTCACTTTTATCAAGAGAATACAAGAAGGATGCGCACACCGCCAAGCTGCCTTGTAATCTTGTGTTTACAGATCACCCCGCATCTACTTATCTCCCTCCCCATCACCTTGAAGCGTCGATGAGTAAAATGGTGCAATCTCTTAATTTCTCTTCTTACATCAGACACCACTTTGGCTGTGGTTAAACAGAAATCTTTGTCAGCAAAACCACGTTGAACAGCAAGAACTTGGGAACCACCATCTTAACCAGCCTCATCATACCATTAAACTGGGGCAGGCAAGTGAATCAGCTCAGGAAATTGATCCTGCTTAAAAATAACCCAGCAAAAAGAGTAGGACAGATCCCTAATCCAACACAGAATAAATCCCCTTAAACACCTGGGCCAGTACAACTGCCAAGAAGGTGCAAGGAACGCGTATGTACTGCCCAAGCGAGCAGTGCTATGAGGACTCACTGGGTAGCTGTGCCCTTGTACCCACCAACAGCTGTCTTTGCATCCGACCGCGCACCATCCATTTCAGAGACTGACTGTGGCCGATTGCAGTCCCAGGCTAGGTTCTCTTCTTATGGGAGTCAGCTACCTACGGGATTACGTTTTCATCTCTAATGACACAGCTTTCTGGAGGAGCAACGCTTTATTCTACAGCTATTCTCACCCACAGCATGCTCACAACTGTAACTCTACCCTGGAACAAACCAAAGACACTGCCCTCCGCCCCTTTAATCTATCCTTTCTACTTCTTCCAAGGTCTTGACTCCAAACCCAACATAAGCAGACCCCAATAAGCAAAATGAAGCTTCCCACCACCAAGTAATGTGAAATAGAGACTAAGCCTATGAAGTTTATACCAGCAAAGCTGCCCCATTAGACCGAAGTATTACGTTTAAGGTGGATCCATCTGAAAGAGAGGCCAGAAAAAGCAGAGGAAATTTTTGACTCATTACTCTGAAAATTTCAACTAGTTACAGAAGCAGCTCCCAGCAAACCTATGTGCTGCAGTTTAAAATGGGAAAATGTGGGAGTTATCATATAAAATAGCATCATATAAAAGGCATGCTGATGTATTGAAGCACCAAGCTCCGATACAGAGCAGAGGTATAGCTAGCTCTTCCTTAAATTTACCGACACATTCTTAACACATTGTATGTTCACTAACATTTTTCTGGGTTTAAGGTATGTTAAGAAACAGGATTTTTAGTCATTTGCAAGAAAAATCCTACATTTCTTGCTATTTTTCAAATGTGTTTCCTGATTTCATCATTCTCTCCAGAAAGTGTTAAGTCTTCCTCTTATCAACTGCAATAGAGATTTTTCACAATATACTAAATGAAATAATTTCTTTTCCCTCTGCCCTTAATTTTACAGGTACACTGTTAGTCAAGAGCCTTTCTGAAGTCTCTGAAAGGAACTAAAGGAAGCCATGCCTTAATGATTTCAGAGTCTTTCCTTAACCCCAGTCTTCATCTACGAGAGAAAACCAGTCATGGGGGGATTAGCTGTTTCAATCCATAAAACACAAAGGCAACAGCAACTTAGTCTACTCAGACAGGAGACAGCAGCAGCTGTTCACCAACTGCTTTTAGAAACCATAGAGCATTGCAGGCTGCTCTCCAAACACAGGCAAAGGGTCCTCACTCTCCCCCAAAAACTCAACAGAAAATGTACAAGCAAAATGTCACCTATATTGTAAAGGAGAAAGAAAAAAGCACAAGAAAAAAAACCAAGAAAAACCCTAAGTGCTTTTCCAAGGCTACTATCATAAGAAGCTATTTCACAGAAGCTTGTAAAAAGCATTAATATTGTAATAATTCTCACCACAAAAGCTACCACACACACCTCAAACGCTGAGCATGTGTGTGATTACTGAGTACAAGGCAACAGCCAAACTAGGAGGAGGATGCAGTAGCTGAAATAATTACAAAGTTTTCCATCTCAGCATTCCAGATGATTTCTGCTGCAAGGGTGGAATCAAGACGAATTTAAAGGTACAACATGGCTAAAAATGTCATTTTCAGTACAAACCAGACACACTTATTCAGTGCTCTACCTAAAGTAAATGCAGATATTGTTATTCATCATGTGAGCTAGAAGAACGAAGAGTGTGAAATCAGTAATTGAGAACAAAACTAATAGCAACAAAGTTGACAATAAATGCTGGAAGTGTCTCTCCTGAGCATTCCTGTCAGGATTTGAGAGAGAAACTCGCAATCCAAGACTGTCTACAGATTGGGAACACCACAAATACTCCTTCAATTCAGCCACAGTGGTCTCCTCCAAAATAAAGGTAAGACTAGAACCAGCCACTAAGATTGGAATCAAAGCATCTTCTTCTTGTTCCAAAGCAAGTCAGTTTTAGTTTGGATTAATTACAGAGAGATTATAGTAGCAACATGCCCTACAAAACAACCATTTCAAAAGGAGAAGACTCTCTGGACAACAGCAATTTACTGCAATAGGTAAAACAATCTCAACTGCAGTTTTTAAGAAAAAAAAAAAACCACAACAAGAAAAGAAAAAAGAGATGGAGAGACATGTTCCCTAGTTACCTTGGATGAAATTACATTTTCAGTGTACCACGTACATTAAATATACTCTGTCTTGTAAAATTATAAAATACAAAACTGAGATGAGTTATCCTAGTGTATTAACTTTGTCAGTGACAGCTGCATCATCCCCCTATTCAAGGGGCCAGAAAGTCAGCCTTAAGAGTGACAATAGACTACACTATATATGCCATTTTTATCCCAGCCCCATTTTTATCCCAGTCCCTGCAATAGGACTGGGAGCACCCAAGCCCTTGGAGTACATCAGCAAAGGCTTCTGAGGAAAGCATTGGGAAGCACAGTAAGACATATGCTATTTTCTTGTGAAAATGAAGTTAAAAATACAAAGGCGGAAAAAGAAATGTGGAAAAAGCTAGGAGCGACTGAAGACAGCTGATAAAAGAACTAATATAAAAGCTAAAGGTGCTCACTCAATAAAAACTGGACGACAGCCTTCTCTTATTTGAGTAATAAGTCACACATTTTGACCTTATGTCAAGAGCACCACACAGCTGAGCATGCAAGAAAATAAGTCAGCCTTTGGGAAACAAGAAAGCAATGTTGGAAGAGATGAAGATCTAAAGCAACCGCAGAAATGCAGGGCCCCATCTGCACCCTTTCCAGCAAGTTTCAGCTGATTAGGGGAATGTAAAATCCCCAAAGTCATTTTTCCTCACGTTTGTAAGACTGCAAGAAGAAGGGAAAGACAAGGAGAACGGGCATGGTCCCCATATTTATACAGAACAAGGGTAGGTCCTACACAATAAGGATGGCTAAGGTGAGAACACAGTACAGATTCCGAATTTG